AGAGAGAGAGAGAGAGAGAGAGAGAGAGAGAGAGAGAGAGAGAGAGAGAGAGAGAGAGAGAGAGAGAGAGAGAGAGGAAAGAGCCCTTTCAAATTACTCAGGCAACCGCTGCCGGTAGTTTCAAAAGGTCCCCGCCAAAAATTGGCAAGGGTCCCGTCGGCAGAAGAAGGGTAGTCACTGGACTTGTAGTAAGGAGGGCGCAGGCCAGCTATATATGGTGTAGCTTCGAATTCAGGTCCTGTTTCAGCAGTTATGGGTTACTGACTTACTAACTCGGCATGTGATTTTCAAGCCTTGACTCCACTACTCACCCAACGTGCAAACTACCGTAGAATAAATGTTCTTCTAGAAACTCGAACCATACAAGCCAGATGTTTTTCTTTTGTGATGAGTGGAGCGAGGGCCTTAGGGCCACTGCACGTAAGAAAAGGAAAAACAGAAAAAACGATACAGCCACTGTAGTGTTTGTAGTACTTTCGTAATCCATAACTCTTGGAACACAGACCAGTATCCGAATCCAGGATATATTGCTGGCCTGCTCGTGGTCTGCTCGCAGTTCAATGAACTTTCTTCCAAAAGTATGGGAACCCTGATGATTCGTTGCAGGGGACCTTTTGGAAAAGAAAATAGATCCAATGAGTGGTACGAAGTGGGCCCAAAATATATATTGTTTTCTGTGCACTTACAATTTTCAAAACGGAGGGGCTTTTGGTTACCATGGCCTACTCTTTTTTATTTATTTATTTTTTATTTTGTAAATGCGCTGCATCACGTGCGCGCGCTCGCGTGCACATGCGCTTATGTGGCGCACGTGCACAACTTCTGCGCACGTGATGCGCCGCATTTATGGTTGAGACAGAGAAGGAGAGTCTTTTAGACTAGGCTGGTCCCCGGGCCGCCCGGCGGCCTGGCCGTCGCCCGGGGGAGGGGCCGGGCCGCCTGGCCGTCGCCCGGGGGAGGGGCCGGGCCGCCTGGCCGGTTGTCGTGCCCGGTTGGCCACCGGGCGCCCCCAGCGCATCACTGTAGGTTAGGTTTTTTTTTTTTTTTTACGGCGCCGGGGCCCTTTTTGCCCCCTACATAAACCGTGTGGACCGTGAAAAAAAAAAAAAAACGGGGCCGGTAGGCCCGATTTTACCGATTTGAAATCGGGCACCATCTGGATCGTCGATCTCGAAGATCAACGGCCCAGATTGCCCCGGTTTCAAATGGGTCAGGGCGGGAACTAACGGCCCCCGTTCCCTCCCCCGTGCTGAAAACCGACGTCCCCCCTTCCCTGCCTTGCAGCAAGTGTGTCCGCCGGCGCAACTTCAACGCGCTTCTTTGACGCACCCCGCCGGCACCCGCCAATGTCTGCCATCGCGCGTGACCCCGCCATCGCCCGCCAACGGCCGCCTTCAACAAGGTAAGGGACTTAGTTGGAGAGAGAGAGAGAGAGAGAGAGAGAGAG